GCTGTCAGAGGCGTCAGGCCTGGGCAAGGGGCCGATCCTGCGATTGGAGGGTGATGGGGGTCAATGCCTGAGGGCTCCCAGTATGTGAGAGGTGGCAGGCTGGGCTGAGGGACACGCCACACACACACACACACACACACACACACACACACACACACACACACACCCAGTGCACCGGGCCCCTAGTATTTAAATAACAATAATAATAAAAAGAAGCACCCTTGGTGCTTAGGAGAGGGAAAGGCAAAGGTAAACTAATTGCCTGGAGGGAAGAAGAGGGGAACCCAAAGGCCACATCCTGCTCCCCAGAGCAAGAGCACACAAGAAGTTAAAGAGCTAAGAGAAGAGGAAAAGAAAACATTTGTCTACTACTCCACATGTTTTTTCAATACCTGTCTGAATCTTAAGAGAATATCCAAAATATATGCAATGAACATTATTCTTAGAAACCATAGCATTCAGCAGATTTTTTCTTTTAGCATAGTGTTTTAAAAAATATTTTTTTTAGCCCTAGCTGGTTTGGCTCCGCAGATAGAGTGTCGACCCGTGGAATAAAGGGTCCCGGGTTCGATTCCGGCTGAGGGCACATGCCAGAGTTGTGGGCTCGATCCCCAGTAGGGGGCGTGCAGAAGGCAGCCAGTCAATGATTCTCTCTCGACATTAATGTTTCTATCTCTCCTCTCTCCCTTCCTCTCTGAAATCACTAAACATATATTTAAAAATATAATTTGATCAGCTGCCTCCTGCATGCCCCCACAGGGTATCACGCAAGTGCCCTGAACTAGAATCAAACCGTGAACTGGTTCATAGGTCGATGCTGAACCACTGAGCCACACTGGCCAGGCAGCAGATCCTTAAAGGGATAATAACACTACAAAAGTACATAAATCAGTGGTGTACTCAAGATACTTTTCATGCTACAAAAATAGTGCCTGCAGGGATGAGATTGCAGCTGGACTCTGAAAGAGCTAACCTAGTGTGAAGTCAGAGGAGTCTCCCGTAGGAAATGACCCTGCTGGGAAAGAGAATATCCCAGGCAGAGAGTTAAGTATATTCCAATGACCTGAAGTAAGAGACTGGTTTTAGCTCGGAACTCAGAACAGTCCAGGGTGGTTGGAGGAAAAAGGCAAGGTGGCCAGGTAGTCAGGGCCAAAGAACAGACACCTTGCAAGTCATGTTAGGGACTTTGAAGGGCGAAAGAGTGCCTTCAAAGGGTTTTAAGAAAGAAAGTGAAATGATCAGATTTGAATTTTATAAAGATAATTTTATGGTATGGGAAATGAATTGAAAGAACCAGACATGAAACAGGGAGATGGGTTAGGTTGGTGCACTAGTCCAGGTGACATGATGGTAAACAAACTGGAATCTGTGGATATTAATTTAATAGTTTTGAGCACCCACTATACGGTCAGGTATTGATTGATTTAAGCACTGGAGATAGAGCTATAACAAAAGCCCTGAAGTTCCTCCTCTCATAGAACTTACATGAGAGACAGTAACAGATTTATGCATACAGATACATATCAGATTGACATAAGTACTATGAAAAATAATAAAGCAATGCAATGGTGTGGAGAAGGTTATTTTATTTAGGATGGTGAGGGAGGGCCTCTTCTGATAGGTGACATTTGAGCAGAGACCTAAACAAAGCAGGTATGCAGGTATACAGCAGAAGAGCATTTCAGAAAAGAGCCATAAAATCATGTGCAAAGGCCCTGAGGCAGGAAAGTACCAGACATATTTTCTAGGAACAGAGAGGAAGCAATAAAATTGGAGTGGACGCAAAAAGAGGAAAGAACTCCAAGATTAGATAACAAATAATGGGGGAGGGGTGGCGCAGACTGTTTACAGCCTTATCTCAATAAGATGGAGAGCCACCAGGAGCTTTTGTGCAGAGGAATGACATGATCTGATACTGGCTTTAACGGGGTCCTTCTGGGGGCCCGGGCCTCCCAGCCAGGGACTCTGCTCCTGAGCCAGCCTGGCCACTGCCCGCTCTCCCAGTGCAGCTGTGGCCCCGGCTATGGCTCACCGCCTGGGTGTCTGGGCGATCCATGGGCGGCAATGATGACAAAGTATGGCGAGGGGTGAGGAGCAGCGCAAGGAGCTCGAGGCTCTGGAGTCCATGTACCCCGACTCCTTTACAGTATTATCAGAAAATTCTCCTAGCTTCACCATTACTGTGACATCTGAGGCTGGAGAAAATGATGAAACTGTCCAGACTACACTCAAGTTTACATATGGTGAGAAATATCCAGATGAAGTCCTCCTTTATGATATATTCTCCTAGGAAAATCTAGGAGATAATGTTGTCTCAAGCATCTTAAAATTATTAGTATTACAGGCAGAAGAAAACCTTGGTATGGTGATGATCTTTACTTTAGTGACAGCTGTACAAGAAAAATTAAATAGTGGATCAAATAAAAACTAGAAGAAAAGAAACAAAAAGAAAAAGCAGCAGAATAAGCCGAAAAGCAATTATTTCATTGCACTCCTGTTACAGTTGAGAATTTCTTAAGTTGGAAAGCCAAGTTTGGTGCAGAACTCTTGAAAATTAAAAAGAATGAAGGGAAAAAAAACAAGCAGGAATAAATAAGTAGGAAACAGCTATTTAAAACAGGTCACAATCTTGACACATCTGATATCCAGTTCTTGGAGGATGCTGGAAACAGTGTGGAGGTAGATGCATCGTCGTCCCAGGAAATAGATGACTTGGAGCTGGAGGATGATGAGGATGACCCAGACTACTACACTGCTGACCCAGGGAGTGACTTGACCAATTGACGGACCATCCTCATTCGCAGAGGCTTAGACTGCCACAGCATCTGTGCCTATGCTGAGAGGGTGTTGATTTTCCTCTAAGAAAAAACAATTAATGAACTTAATAACCTGGCCTTAAAATTTCATAAATAAATAAAAGAAAGGGATCCTTCTGGCCCTAGCCGGTTTGGCTCCAACTGAAGGGTCATGGGTTCAATTCCAGTAAAGAACACAAAGAGCATGTACCTCTATTGCAGGCTCCATCCCAGCCCTGGTCATTTGTGACGCGAGTATGGGAGGCACTCACATTGATGTTTTTTTCTCTCCCCCTTCCACTCTCTAAAAATCAATGGGGGGAGGGGGGGGGGAAGTACCCTCAGGTGAGGATTGACTCCCAAAAAGGGATCCTTTTGGAACTTTGAGGGGAATGAGGAAATGTTTTATATCTTAATTGAAGTATCTGTTACACAGGGGTCTACATTTATCTCATGTCAAAGGAGAAAAAAAACCCACAAAACTGGTTTCTAGGGAGAAAATAAACCAAACCAGGAGGGTCAAAGGATGAAGGGGACAGATTAGTTAGAAGGCTACTTACTGCCTTTGTCCAGGTGAGAGATGATAGTGGATCAAACCAGATGGTGATAAGGGGTGAAAGTATTGTCGTGTTTCCCTCCACGTCCTGCGTGGTTCAGGGTTCGAGTCTGGAAGAGGAGCCGCACATCAAATGAAAGAGAAAAGACAGGAGATAATCTTGGAATAATGGGGGACCAGGCAGCAAGTCCAACTCAAGAGGAAGGACTTCCACTGTGCTCAGGCCTCACCAAGCTTTTTATAGTGAGGGGTAAACAAGGTAGTGGTTACCAAAGCTACACTCTTCTTGTGAGTTTCACCTGTTTACACCACGGTTATACTTCCTGCACTTCCTCAGCCCATTAGATTCCCAGATAAGATCTAGGGAGTGTTATAAGGTCAAGCCTAATTATGCTAAGAGGACTGTGCCCTCTAAGCTAGGACTTGTTTGTGACTTTGCCAGCAGGTCAGTCCGAGGCTTAACCCTATATCAGTTTCCCACACTGTCCCAGATAAGAAAAAAACTAAAGGAATTCATCATCACAAGAAATGTTAAAGGGACTTCTTTAAGAAGAAAAAGGGAATAAAAATTTGAATAATAAAATGGCAATAACTACATACCTATCAATAGTTACTTTAAATGTAAATGGATTAAATGCTCTAATCCAAAGACAGGGTGGCTGAATGGAGAATAGGCCCATCCATATGCTGCCTACAGGAGAACCACTTCAGATCAAAAGATACACAGATTGAAAATAAAGGAATAGAAGAAGATACTTCAGGCAAACGGAAATGAAAAAAAAAAAGGTTGGGAAAGTGCCCCAGATCCTTTTAGGACATTTGGTCTTTTGGACGCAGCACAAATTGAGTGAGGGAAGAAGGAGAAAAATCTGCTGGATCCCTGCAGAATTAATTTATTCAAAAAGGAAATAATAGAAAAATACTCAACATGCAAAAGTCTTGTGAAGAAAATGAAGGAACGCCATAGAACATGCCAAAGGCTGAGGAAGACCACCCTTCAGAAGATGTACCGCAGGAGGCAGAAGGAAACCTTAGAAGCGGGTTGACTCAACCTGTCCAGGCGTTCAAAGAAGACACTCCCGTTAGGCATTTTAACCCTGAAGAAATGCTAAGAGGAATATATGAGTTGGAAAGGCTTAGAGAAGAAATAAGAGTAAGAAACAAGTTTTTGATGATGCATTAAAAGCAAAGACATTCTCGCAGATGACCTTATCCTGTGTGCTTTAGGCCTTGAATTCTTTTTTTTAATCTGATAGTAAAACCTGGCGCCTGCTTTCTGTTAGCATATTCTGATGTATCTTTTATCTTCGTTTTACTTTTCTTTTTTTAAATATATTTTATTGATTTTTTACAGAGAGGAAGGGAGAGAAACAGAGAGTCAGAAACATCGATGAGAGAGAAACATCGATCAGCCGCCTCCTGCACATCTCCCACTGGGGATGTGCCCGCAACCCAGGTACATGCCCTTGACCTTAATCAAACCTGGGACCTTTCAGTCCGCAGGCCGACGCTCTATCCACTGAGCCAAACTGGTTTTGGCTTCGTTTTACTTTTCATCATCTGGTAGGATTTTGTTTTAGATTGTTTACTTGTTAACCAGCATCTTACTGGATTTTGTATTTTGACCCATTCTCCAGGTCTATTTTTCAACTAGGAAGTTTTACACAAAGGCATGAAAATATGTTCATTCCATATTGTAAAGTAACATAAGTTACAAAGCATATTTAATATCAGCTCACATATGTACGATAAAAATCCCAAATGGTGTGTTTGCATGCATGTGTGTATACATATATACATACATATATACATCAAAAACTTAACTGTGCTCATTTCTGTGTGGTGTGAGTTTTCTTTTTGCTAATATGTATGTTTTAATGTATTCTTACTGATTTTTTAGAGAGAGGAAGGGAGAGCGATAGAAACATCAATGAGAGAGAAACATGGATCAGCTGCCTGTTGCATGCCCCCCACTGGGGATCAAGCCCACAACCAAGGCCCATGCCCTTGACCAGAATCGAACCCGGGACCTTTCAGCCCATGGCCCAACACTCTATCCACTGAGCCAAACTGGTCAGGGCACTTATATGTATTTTTAATGAACTTATGTCACAGACAGAATTAAAGTTCTTTAATAAGTAAGAATCAAATAGCCGTAACTGGTTTGGCTCAGTGGATAGAGCGTTGGCCTGCGGACTGAAAGGTCCCAGGTTTGATTTCAGTCAACGGCATGTGCCTTGGTTGCGGGCACATCCCCAGTAGGGGGTGCGCAGGAGGCAGCTGATCGATGTTTCTCTCTCATCGGTGTTTCTAACTCTATCTCTCTCCCTTCCTCTCTGTAAAAAATCAGTAAAATATATATTTTTAAAAAAAGAATCAAATAATTTGCAACCAGCTTATAAGGGCAATGGAGGCCCCTGAACTCTTGGTGAAATAAGTATTAAAATATAACCCTGGCTGGTTTGGCTCAGTGGATGGAGCATCAGCCTGTGGACTGAAGGGTTCCAGGTTCGATTCAGGTCAAGGGCACATGTCTGGGTTGTGGGCTCTATCCCCAGTAGCGGGTGTGCAGGAGGTAGCCGATCAGTGATTCTCTCTCATCGTTGATGCTTCTCCCTCCCTCTCCCTTCCACTTAAATCAATAAAAAAAATTTTTTTTAAATGTAAGCCTCAAATCACCCCTGGATCTTTTAGCCAGAGAAATAAAACTGGCAATGATTACAGAAAAAAAAGTTGGGGAAACAATACATATATCAGACAAAATAGACTATAAAACAAAGTCTATGACAAGAAACAAAAATATGAAAGCAGCCTAAGTGTCCATTGATAGATGGTCAAATATGCAATGGAATATTACTGAGCCATAAAAAAGAATGAAATCTTACAATTTGCAATAAGATAAATAGACCTAAAATGTATTATGCTAAGTGAAATAATTCAGAGAAAGACAAATACCATAGAATTTCACTTATATGTGGATCTGAAAAACAATGAACAATCAAAACAAACAAACTCATAGATACAGAGAATATATTTTTATATATATTTTTATTGATTTCAGAGAGAGGAAGGGAGAAAGAGAGAGAGAGAGAAACATCAATGATGAGCAGAGAATATTTTGATGTTTGCCAGATGAGAGGGGCTTTAAGGAACTGGGTGAAAAAAATGAAGGAATTAAGAAGTACAAATTCACTTATAAAATAGTCACGGGGATGTAAAGTACAGTATAGGGAATATAGTCAATAATAGCATAATAACTATGGTGTGGGAGTCGGTACTAGATTTATCGGGTGATCACTTTGTAAGTTTAATAAATGTCTAACCACTACGCTGCATACAGGAAACTAATATAATATTGACTATCAACTATTAAAGACAAAAAAACCCCACATAGTATTGAGGTAAGTAGCAAAAGCTACATATCAAACCCAGATCCTATTTTGCTTTTTAGCATAGTATTAAAAAAAATCACAGCCCTAACTAGTTTGGCTCAGTGGATAGAGCATCAGCCTGGGGACTGAAGGGTCCTGGGTTCGATTTTGGTCAAGGGCACATGCCTAGGTTGTGGGCTAGGTCCCCAGTGGGGGGCATGCAGGAGGCAG